GAACTTGGGGCTTCAGATGAATCCCTGAATTGACGGAGCCTTTGCAGCGTTGCAAAAGCTCTGGCCAACTGAGCCTTGCTCTCCCTAAGCCCTGGGATCTATAAGGGTTCCTTTAAAGGGATCTATGGGGGGTCCTTGAAAGGATTCATAGGGTTCCTTATCATGGGATCTATAGGGTTTAGGGCTTGGGGTCTGCTTAGAGGATCATGGGACTTAGCAACTAGGGTTATAATTAAGGTAACTGTACCTATAACTACTTATAACCCCACTTAAGGTACTTATGACCTTACTTACGAAGTCCCATGACGCTCCAATTGGTTTGGGGTTTAGGGACCTACCTTTTAGGGTTCCTTATTATGGTTTCTTTACGCAGTCTCTCCCTAAGCCCTATAACTAGGATGCCCAGTAACCTAGGAATGAAAAGGGCTCCCTTTTTGGTATTGGGTAACTTTATAAAGAACCTAGGACTACAACAAGGGAACAAGGGTACTACTAGCCGGAAAGATCTACCCTTTTAGGGTTCCTTATTATGGTTTCTATATACAGCGCCTTGAAAACGTAGGTCTTTTCGGCTACAGGTGTATTCATCAGCACGAGTAAACAGGATTATTCCTGTTACTATTTACTACCACTACTACTGCTACTACGACGATGATTGGCAGTAGTCTTATTAGGGTTCCTCAACCCTACAGTCTAAACTTTAAACAGTAAACCCGGAATACTGAACCTAAGTCCTAATCCTTCATACCCGAAATACCCGAACCCCGCCAAACATCTCTTTGGTTTCGGGGTTCCTCCAGTCCTTCCGGGAGCTCAGGGTTAAAGTGTAGGGTTTAGGATTCGAGTTTAGGGGTCAGGGTTTAGGATTTCACCTAAATTCTCAACTCGAGTTGCTGACTTTGTTCTCTATCCTACCTCACTTGGAAGCATTTGCGAACCTGCGACTCGCTAGTTAGTAGAGCTTTCAGCCGTGAAACCCTTGCGTAGACCCTCTCAGCAATGCGATCCCATTGGGAAAACCTAGAGGCCCCAATACAAACCCATGAGTGGCCCTCATCAGGAGCATATAAGTCCCGAATCAGAAACTCTGTAGCCCGTGGGAGATAAAAGCTCGAAGTTGGAAAGCTGGAGCAAAAGAGCTGCGGCCACACGCTCTCGAAAAACCATGGTCCGTCCCAGACTCCCAAGCGATTGCCGCAAGCCGGCGATTTCTGCCGGCACTGCAGCATCACGGACATGCACTGCAAGCGCATGCCCGAAGCTTCCAAATATTGCTTTAAAATCCAATTTTGTGGCCTCGCACATCTGTACATTTGGTCTGACTTAACTTTACATTGCTGTACATTGCCTGGGTTCTGAAGTGCCGAATGCAAAAAGAAACTGTCAGCCACATGTCTGTCATGTCTGTCTAGTAATGCGTTCAAGGCCCAAAGCTCAAAACACGATTTTGATAACCCTTAACCTTTGACGTTACATCCCAATCCTGAGCACATCATTCTGCAACCCCTTTGACCTTTCACCCTAGCAAAGTTTACCATACTGTTCTTCAGGTAATATACCAAGGCCCAAAGCCGAAGTGCAAAATTGCAAATGAAACTAGACAACTGACAAACCCTGTATTCATTCGAATTGCTCAAGATCTGCAACCCTTCTAAAACCCCTCAGAGGTCGTCAGACTGGCAAGACACCCCACACAGCCGTGGCGAAACTCTTAGGGCACCTATGGCACGTCCCTAACCTTGAACCCCTAAGCCCAAACTCCCCCAACCCTAAACCCCAAACCTCAAGAAGCCGCTCTAAATAAATGGTTCAGGGTGAAGAGGTGTTGAGGTTCAGGGCTTATGGTCCTAACTCCAAAACCCAGTGGAAGAAGAAGACCCGGCTTCGACAAGCACGAGGGGAGTGGCCAGCACGCCTGCCAGAGGATTTTCGGTTTTAGGGCTCCTTCAAGGGCTGCTGTACATAAAAATATATATATATATACATACATATATTATATACATATGTACATATAACATAGTAGCATTTCACATGTTCTATGTTTGAAGTTCTATATGGGTTCTGCAAAGGTTCTTGATTGATGGGTGGTGGAGATCTACAGTCTTCCGGCTCCTTCGCTGTTGGTTCAGAATTTGGGGTTTAGGGTTTAGGGTTTAGGGGGGTTTTGAGCACAAGCTGCGGCGGTTGAGGGTTTTACGGAGATTTTTGTATATGCTTCTTGGGATGGTGTGAATGTGTTAAGGTGTCGTATAATATTACAATAAATCTTGCTGTGTATTACAGCGGTTTCAGGTTTTTGTCTTGACGTTTCGGGCTGGGCGAGTTCAGGGCTTAGAGCTTCGGGTCTGGCTTGTCTGACCACTCCTTGCCCCTTCGTTATTCTTCCCTTGCGAGCTCCGGGATGTCCAAAATCGCGAAGTGTCGAAACACAGGGTTTCGGTTTGGGGCGAAGCACGACATGGATTGAAACAGCCCAAGTAGACGACAACGGGGAACGCTCTTGCAACATGATGGACAGCCTGGCAGATGGTGCCATTCCACTTTCTCTTCTACTGACCCTCAGGTAGTGCCCTAAGGTCCCAAACACAGCCCTCGCACACCCTGAACCTTGAAGCCCGAAATAAGAGTTTCCGAAAATAGAGGGACCTTAATATAGTATCCTAAATAGTAGGATCCGCCATATTACAAGGACATCAAAAAAAGGTACCCCTAAGTTTCGGAGACTTCCAAATCCTGTCCTAAACCGCAAAACCTTGTAGCCCGACATCCTGAACCCCACATCGAGCTCGATGGCGCCTGGATCCCCGTTCCCTTGGAGGGCGCCACGGAGGCCTCCAAGGAATAGAATTACCAATAGTTTTGGGGCAGACAACCGAGTAGTAGATTTGTAGAAAGGAAAACGGCGGAATAGTAGTAGTCGTAGTGTTTGCTGATCAAGAGAAGCCTCGAATCTAAATTCGCATATCGCTGGCCATGACTTGGCATGGGCCCCCAAGGGTTTTAGAGTTTAGGGTTTAGGGTTTAGGGGTTTAGGGTTTAGGGTTTAGGGTTTAGGGACCCAGGCCAAGCCAGGCCAGCCCAGCCCCCTCAAGCCCGGTCAAGGCTGCCCGAGCCCTGTTTCCACGGCCAGCCCGCCCAGCCCCAAACAATATAGAGTGTAATCAGTGAAATCTAGGCGAGGGAACGAAATGGGCTTTCAGGTATGTTAAAGCATACATAGATTGTAGTGATCAACCCTGATAAGTAAGAAGATCATTGACATATATTTGCCAGAAAAGGTCGTTTAAGGGTCCTTGTTAGGTTTTTTTTTGGGGGCTTCGGCTTCCTTACAGCCTACACGGGTCTCTGTGGATCTATACGGGCTTCTGTGTTGCGCGCACTGCATCGGGACCCTCGGCAATCAAGCGCTCTGTTGGCGGCCTTTTACGCAACCATCTTAGTTAGTAGGAATGTATAACGCGGTTTAGGGCTGAGGGTTTGCAGCTAGGGGCAAGTTTGTAGATATCGCTGCCAACACCACGACAAATCGTGTTCTCCAGCTTCGCCAGCAATTGTACTGTAGTAGCCCGCAAGACGTGTTTGCAGTCAAGCGGCTGCTGCACATGCAACCTCAGGCATGACTGAGGATAGCACTGGCAAGCAAGGATGTCGAAACATTGCTGTCGCAGATACAATGCTGACAGTGGTGTTGGCGGCAAGACGAGTCATAGTCCGTAACGTGAGTTATAGCTACAGCAAGATCTGCATCCCCCAAAACCCTACTCTATTCTAAGTAATCACCAGCAAAGGCGCCATGCATCGGGAGTCGCCGCCCCTGAAGTCAGGCTCGGGCGGCATCTCCTCGGACTGTTTTGCAATCGGATAGAAAACGGTCTGGGGTGTAGGGTCTGTAAGACTTGTACAATTTGCGAAGCTTACGAATCAAACCGCTGAAGATACAAAACCAACTGCTGATCATGGCAGAGCTTCCGACCAGCATAGAATATGGTGATTGTAGACATTGCGGCCTCCGGAGTGCAGCGGTGCACACGGGATACGCCTACTGCGAATGACCTGCTGCACTGCAAAAGTGGACAGTCACACTGCTGACGAATCCCCAAACCCTGAACCCAACATCCGAAAACCCCAACAACCCTAAACCTATACCAGTCCTCCTCCACTAGCTGCATACCAAATGGGCCCACTGATCAGCCACTGGACATGACAAGTAGTTTAAAGCCCACATAGTGGGGTTTAGGATTTATAACAGGATTGGGCTCCTCATCACAGTAGGGCTTAGTCAGTTTATGTCTAAGGCTAAGGTTTAGGATGTCTATAACAGTAGGGTTTAGGGTTTAGGACCCACATAACGCTTATGCTGCAAGAGTCAGGCAGAACAAGCGAGAGAAGTGTGTCTTGCCCCGCATGGGATCTACGAATCAAGCTTTTGCACACATCATCCATGATAGGAGCACCACCAAACAGGACATACGGTTAAGACACTCCCACATCCCAAACATTAATGATGCTATCCTGCGTGATGACAAATCCAACAGCATCTCTTGGCAAAGGACCGCTGAATTAAAGGAACCCTGTAAGCCTTAAACCTTCGTCTAGATGTCCCTGAACGGAACCCCTAAACCTTAAACCCGGAAGCCCTAAACCCCTAAACGCCTAAGCCCCCTTAACCCTTAACCCTAAATCCCCTAAGCCCTCTTAGCCCTTAACCCTAAACCCCTAAGCCCCCTTAACACTTAACCCTAAATCCCCTAAGCCCCCTTAACTCTAAACCCTAAACCCCTAAACCCCTGAACCCCTAAGTCCCCTTGACCCTAAACCATCCTAAACCATCCTAAACCCCTAAGCCCCCTTAGCCCTCAACCCTAAACCCTCAACCCCTAAATCCCCTAAGCCCCTAAGCCCCTGAGCCCCAATAAAACCCTATATAAACCCCCAAAACCCTCAACCCCTAAATCCCCTAAGCCCCCTTAGCATGACCCCCAGCCTCTGCAAGCCGAGGTCTATGCTAAACAAGGCGGCCTCGGCTCCGTAATCATGGCTTAGGGGGCTTAGGGGTTTAGGGCTTTGGGGGTTTAGGGGATTTAGGGGGTTTAGGGTTTTGGGGGTTTAGGGGGTTTAGGGGTTTAGGGGTTTAGGGGATTTAGGGTTGAGGGGGTTTCGGGTTTAGGGGCTTAGGGTTTGGGGGATCATGGTTTAGGAGGTTTAGGGTTTAGGGGGTTTAGGGTTTAAGGTCGAGTTCAGGGCTTCGGGCAGGTAGGGTCCATGCTGCGATTGAATGTAGAGCTTAGTCGAATCCTGAAGTGAATCAGGGTATTGAATATTTATAGATTTATGGTAGATTATCAAGTTTCTTGTTTTTCACATTTCAATTAAACTAAGAATCTTGGAGTCTCCTTTTTGCAGGGCTTTGCAAACGGTGCCAGAATGGATTCTGTGCGGCCTCGTTTGAAGGATCCGACTACCCAGGCTCCACATTACTCTTAACGTGTGTCTTATGACTCTACAATGATCCTACATTGGTTCAGAATAGGATTAGGATCTGATGACTCTAGGGAACCGACTAGATCTTTACGGGCTGAGGGCTCAGGCACTTCGGTTTCGCTGCTACAGGTTTCCCTGCACCCTGAACAGACTTAGGGCTAAGGTGTTCTGCAGCTTGTAAAATCGAGGGCTTAGGTGAAGCCTGATTGCGCCAGTTCTAGAGGAAGACACACTCCGATCCGTGTGGCTGATTCCTTCACTCAGCCGACAAGTTAGATGTTGGGACGGGAAACCCTACTCTACACAATGTAGTATATATTGTATAAAATATACTATCTACTTTACAGCATCAGCTTCGGGGTCTGAGCGGAAGCAGAAAAGTCATGCTGGCAGGAAGCGCTGGCGCTGCTGCGCAAACTTCATACACCAGCCTCCATATTCTCAGAAGTCGAGGTTCAAGCACTTAGGTGTTTAGGGCTTTTCGCCAGTCTAACAGGAGCCTCAGCTAGTCGGCTTCGGGCTGAACCACGAGAACACGAAGTCACACAGCGCTCAGCTCAGTAGCCAGGAGGTGTCCCTATGAAACCCCAAAACTCGTCCTAAATCCTAAAAGCCCGCGCAAGCAGGGTCTCGATTCAATCGGCGTTTGCATGGAGCTACGAAAAGATAGGAGGGACTCATCTGCAGTCACTAGAATGGGGCTTAGGGTTCGGGTTTCAGTTTGTGTGGCTTTAGCGAGTCCCTTATCTCTCAGGCTTCGGTGAATTCAAGCAGCCCTGTTGCTCTCTTCAACAGTCGCCAGGCGTCTGTTCCAGTCTCGTGTGGCACATGGTCAACGGGAGCCCAAAGCCAAAAGCTTCAGACTCATTGACAAGTCGTTAACACCCGAACCCCAAAGATGGTGAAAAGAACTACACGGCCCTGCTAGAATCTGGAAGCTTATGACAAACGCTGGACCGAGCCCTAAAGCCTCGTAAACTAAATACTATAACCCAAAGCCAAAACCCCCACAAGCACCGAATGTAGAGTAGAGGCGTCGCTCGTCAAGGGTTCTCTACTACTACTGCTTTTATAATAATAAGGAGCCCTAACCCTTAATGCTGCTACTGCTACTGGTTAGGACCCCAAGATTGAAGGGCATGCACAAGCTTAAGCAAACGCGCCTTCGGCGGCGGCGGCTTGGCCTGGAAAGCCGGATTTGAGGAGACCGTTTGACTTTGGCGGTCGGAGGCTTAGGGATTTAGGATTATGGTTAAGGGCTTTGCGATGATAGTTTGCGTTCCAGGATCAAGGTTTAGGGCTTGAGGATTAGGACTGTGCGCAGCAAGTCACCCTAAACCCCTAAACCTGAAACCCCTGAGACCCTAAACCCACAAACCCCGATTCCTCCAAACCCTAAGCTCCTTTGCCCCTAGACCCCGAAACCCCAAAACCCCCAAGCCCCTACAGTGACCGCTGCGATGTGCGTTCGTCATCAGCGAAACCGTCCGGCCTGGCCAAGGCCACGGTAAAAGGAGGCGTACCTGACGGTTCAGGGTTTGCGGATGTAATGTGGGGATTTAGGGATTTAAGGGCTTAGGGATTTAGGGTTTAGGGTTTGGGGGTTTAGGGATTTAGGGTCTAGGGGTTCAGGGATTTAGGGTGTAGGGTGTACGATCCGACGCTTGGGGAGTCGTGTTTTAACGTTCAACACGTGGGGATCTTGGCAACTTGAATGTATTTAAGGAACCCTGAGGAAGGCTATTGGCAATTGTTCTGCCGGTTTTACTCGGTGAAGAGAGTCATTGATGTAGGGCAGCGTCTAGGGCATTAGGGGTGCGTTTCGATGGGCGGGTTCAATGAAGCTCCTCGTGCTGGGCCGTAGCATGATGCATCTAGCACTCACGATTTATTTCCGCGCAATTCCAGCTAATCTGCCAGAACCCCCCTAAGATTCCCTGAATAATCCCAACATGCTGAACCACTGCAAACCCTAAACCCTCAGGGTTTTTGCACTATATTATATTTATAATAAGGAACCGCCAATATAGTATAGGTAATTATTATTAAAGCCCTTGTGGTAAACCCCTAACTGACGGCTGCCTCCACCCAGCGGAACGCTGGCGACGGTCACGGCAGCGTTGCTGAAGTCGGCAGTCATGGGTGCCAGGGCAGGTCCCGCACCGAAGAAGCCTCTGTAGGAGTCTTGAGTTACATGGGTGGTTGTCAATATTAGGGTCCCTTCTTGGGTCCTTATTATGATACGGCACCTAATGTTTAGGGGACCCAAAAAGGGACCATATTTTGACAACCACCCACATGGTAGGAATCATACTGATAGGAATATTAAAGTTAACATTGCAAGAGGGTGGGGCACTATACCTTAAATTGCATTCTGTGCCCCCCACAGCGTCCTTTCCTGCATCATTGCTGCTATTATTATTGTTAACCATACTACCAATAATAACAAGTTAATGTTAACGATAACAGAAATCATTCTAGTCATAATGATAATAGTAATAATAATCTGGAGAATTCGTGGGATGCGCGTCCCTTGTGCTTGTTGAAGTCTCGGATTAAGCGCCTTGTCTACAGATCTCCTCTGGTGATGCGGCGGTTCGATTTCAGGGATGAGCCACCAGAAATGGAAGCTAGCGACATCCTTCGTTCCGTCGCCCTCCAGAATCCCGACCCCAAATTTAAACCGTCAACCCAAAAGCGAGTGCTTCCAAGCTGCAGCCGATCGGTAAAGTCGGTGAATCGAACCTGCGTCAATTCCGGGTTGAATGGGTTTATGGCTTAAGGTAAAAGCCAGAAAGTTGGAATATGATTACCCTAACCCTTCTATGGTAAATTATAGTGTATCCTACCATGAAACCATATTCCAACTTTCTGGAGTTCCCTTTAGGGGTTTAGGGTACGCACGGTTTGTTTGTTGCTTTCAGTTCACCTGCAATACGTGCCAAACCATCTGGCCATAGTTCCTAGATCCCAAACCCAGTTCCTAAACCCCAACCCCTCAAACAGCCAGCTTGGGCTCAAGCCTTCTCTGCCTTCTGGGTGAATCCAACGTTCAGGCTTTTTTTTTTGTTCTGTTTTTTTTCGTTTTTGGGCTTTCAACTTCCAAGGCTCGAGGGTGCTGTAAGCATGGGCTTGGGTGCTCTTTTTGAGGCCCATGCTCCCCCAGTTCTACATTGCCCGAAGCCGAAAGCCCTGCACTCTTCAACCCCTCAACAAATACGGTTGATGATATAAATCCTGCATTACCCTAAGGACCCTAAACTATGGGAATAAAGGTATATTCCTTATTATGGATAATGCAGGATTTATATCATCAACAGTGCCCCAGAAAGCCCAAAACCCCTTAATTAATTAAGGAATATAGCTTAAATCATAATATGAGTCCCCTTATAATTTAAGGTATATTCCTTAATTAAGGGGTATGGGCTCTCTGGAAATACCCCTAAACCGTGAACCCCACCGACTATACTGAACTTAGAACCCTAGCAAAAATTATAATTTTAGCTGTTTCTTAGGGATTATAATAACCAAAAATTAGAAATTATTTCTAAGTACCCCTAAGAAACCGTGAACCCCACCGAGAAGATCGGCCAGGGAGCCACGCTGCCACGAGGCCCCGCCGCGCCATGACCAAGCGAGCAGGGCCAGCCTAAGCAAAAAATCGAAGGAGAGGGTTTATAGGGGTCTTAGTACTTAGAATAGGCTTTTAGGGCCCATTATACTGCGTTTACAATAAGGAACCCCGATGAAGGCCCATATACTATAGAGTTTAAGGTATGCAGTAGGGGTTTAAGCTTCAGCTTACGCTATGGCTTTTAGCTGCCGGAGGGTCTTCGAACTGGGGCTTGCGGGTCTAGGACGTTAGGGGGCATTTGGGGGTTTGGGGGTAGGTTTGTTTCGGCATTCGGCAGACTTGCGCATGAAACTCATGGTCGCTCATGCTTCCTGCCTGCTTCATTGTTGAACGTTTTTCATCATGATCTTCGTCTAATTGGATGTTCGAATAACCAAGATGGAGAAGTAGAAACGAGAAGTAGACAGATGACAACAGCATGATGCCTCATGACTAGCAACAGGGCTGAGAATGGTAATCGTAGTACATGACATCTTTCGGTTGCTGGTCCCTCTTAGTTCTGGTAGCTCGGCAATGCTTGTAGTTTGGGGAATTTGGGGATTGATTGTCAGGTTTCGCAGCGTTTCCATAAAATCCCAACTTCAGCCCACAACCGAAGCCCAAATCCCAAAAGCGATTCTTACGGGTTAGGGTTTAGGGTCTCCTTTGTTTTTAAAGGGTTTAGGGTTTCAGGGCTTAGGGAAAGCGAGCCATAAAGGCCGCAAGCACGAACTGAAGCCTGAACCCTATAAGCCCTAAGCTCCAAACCTGAAACCCTCCAGCCATAAACTAGGATGTCCAGTAAGCTAGGAATAAAAGGGCTCCCTTATTGTTATGGGGCAACTGTATAAGGAACCTAGGACTACAAAAAGGGAATAAGCACACTACTGGGCATCCTAGTAAAGGAAGAGAAAGAGTCACTGAACCCTAAGTAAACCCTCGAATCACGCAGTGGGCGCAGGTGCCTCGCGAAAGATCTCCGGCCAGAGCGCCGCTGGGCGCACCTCTACCCAAAGGCCCCAAAGTAGTTCCTTTTGGGGGCTCATATACAGAATCCTATAGGGGACTCCCAAAAAGGAACAACTTTGGGGCCTCTGGGTATCTCAAACCTAAACCCCCTAAACCATTAATGATTTTGGGTTTTGGGTTAGGGCTCAGTGTTCAGGGTTTAGGGATTTTTCCTCATAACACTCGGGATCTGACAGCACAGCACTCAAGCCGCTTCATTCACTAGAGCCCGTCATCTACTCAATGCGCGATCCATCAGGGAGTTTCCGAAAATTAAGGGTCCCTTTTATTGGGGTCCTTATAATAAGGATCATAGTACTTAGGGTACTATATTAGGGTCCCTCTATTTTCGGAAGCTCCGATAACAACCTGAAGACTGGACCCGATCCCGAAACGTTGGACCCCGGCCCTCGTAGCCCGAACCCGACACCGCGACCGCATGACAAAGGAACTTTAAGGGCTTTCGTTCAGACGTTTAGGGTTTTTAGGGCTTAGGGTTTTTTTCAGTGTTTCCGGTCAACTTAGCCACCCAAACTTCACGAAAATGGGGCTCAAGAGTCTCAGAACATGAGCCCTTCAAGGCTTTAAGTCACCAACCGGATGCTTCCCCCTCGACTGCTGGCTACTGGCGCTTATAACGAGGAAGAAGAAACTCAAGAAGGAACGACACCAATAATTCAACCAAAAGCTCGCAGACTCTAAGTGGAGAAACTGATGCCACTTTCTCTGACGACAATGATGATGATGATGACTACTCTTATTGTTATTGACACACAACGGCCACGAAGTTACGATGATGATGAGGATGGCGATTATAACGACAACGATGACGACGACCGTGAGTCTACGACTCTACGTAAACCCTTGCAGGAAACCCCTAAGCCCCTTGAAAGAGACCACTAAAATCCTTGAAAACGTCCCTAAAACCCTTGCCAAACACCCTAACCCCCAAGCCCAGCAGCTAAAACCCTCATTCCTAAAGCCTATGTTAACCCTCCATACGAAGCCGCTGAAGCCCCTACTTGTCGAGTATCCTCAAAACTAAAGGTTAACCTTTGGGAACAGATTGGCATCATGTAGCGAGTATTGTGTCCACAGTGAGGTTAAAGGTTACCTACTCTACTACTAACACCCATTGAACCGTTATAGAACCTCTTACACTACAGCTTATAGTACCCACATAGAGGTTAAAGGTTACCTAATCTACTACTAACCCCCATAGAACCATTACAGAACCCCCTTCAGTAATTACAGCGTGTAATGCCCAAAGAGGTTAAAGGTTAACCACTCGACTACTAACCCCCCATAGAACCATTATAGAACCCCTTACAGTAAAACTGGTTACAGGTTAGCTACTCTACTATTAACACCCATAGAACCGTTATAGAAATCCTTACAATAATTACAGCTTGTAGTACGGTTATCGTTAGCTACTCTACTATTAACACCCATAGAACCGTTATAGAAATCCTTACAATAATTACAGCTTGTAGTACGGTTATCTACTCTACTACTAACCCCCCATAGAACCACTACAGAACCTCTTACAGTACAACTTGCAGTACCCACGAAGAGGATTAAGGGCACCTACTCTGCTACTAACCCTCATAGAACCAGTACCGAACCCCTTACAGTACAATTTGCAGTGCCCACAAAGAGGATAAAGGTTGCCTACCCTACTACTAACCTCCATAGAACCATTATTTATAGAACCCCTTTACAACCCACAAAGAGGCTAAGGTTACCTACTCTACTACTAACCCCCATTGAACCATTACAGAACCCCTTACAGTTCAACTTACAGTACCTACAAAGAGGATACAGGTTACCTAATCTACTACTATCTACTCTATTACTAACCCCCCATGGAACTATTACAGAGCCCCTTACGGTAGCCCTTAAAGTACCCACAAAGAGATTATAGACTATCTACTCTTCTACTAGGAGCCATGAAACCCCACAAGACCATCGTAATACCCCAGGGATCAAATATCAGGAGTCCGTCGACCCCTAGCCATAATCAATGGTTTTGTGCTTTGAAAGACAAGCTGGGTGGTTGTCAAAATGATGATCCCTTTTTGGGTCCCTAATATAGTACGGCACCTAATATTTCGGGTTCCCAAAAAGGGACCATAATTAATTCCGGGAGCCTCGGAGACGCGACCGGCTCGACAGTCGACCCATCGAAGCGCGGTGTTGCTTAGAACGGCCACTGCCGGATCTCCGACCTCGGGGTTTAGGATTTTGTCGCATGTTAGGGGGCTTTGGGGTTTTGAGTTTAGGGCTAAGGGCTTTTAGGGTTTAGAAGAGTAGGGCTGAAAATATACCCTCGGGTTTAGGGTTATGGGGGTTCGGGAGGCGCTAGCTGATTTGGGGGTTCTGGATTTACATGTGCTTGATAGAGCATAAAACCCAAAGCAAATGTTCTTCTACCTCATAGATTCCAGGCGACCATACCAAAATCCGGTCCACAATCCTTCAGCTTTTGCACGCTACTTTGGCAAATCTCCAACCCTAAACACTATAAGTCTGCAGATCCTACACTCAAAATCTAGACGCTGCAACCCCAAACCCTAGATAAATCATGACTTGGGGGTGTCCGAAAACTAGGGGTACCTTATTTGGGGGTCCCTATAACAAGGATCCGACAATTTAGGGTAGCATATTCGGGTCCCCCATGTTCGGAAACTCCCACTAACCCGAGACCCTACACTCTGAAACCCCCCAGGCCCGAGACCCTAAAGTTCATAAGCGGCTACTGAAAGGATCAGGGCAATTAGTACGCCGGGTTTTTGACTAGGGCTTTGGGGTTTAGGGTTTAGGGGTTATAAGGGTTTAGGGGTTGAGGGTTTAGGGTTTCAGAGTCACGTCACTTGTGACCCCCATTTACGGCACTTGCACATACAACCCAAAACCCTAACTCCCACTAATTACTTGTAGTCCCCCTTGTGGTCCTACTTACCCAGTATTCAGAACGCTTAAGTAGGGCCAAGCGGCATTCACGCTGACGTGTGGGCCATCCTCAACTCTTTTGCCAACAAGCTTCAGAAGAGGTCAGGGTTTAGCGTGTATAGGGTTTAGGGCTTGTGGACAGGTCCTTGTTATTGCATGCAGTATATGGGCCTCAAATAGTTGACAAAGTCTCAGGACATGTTACACTATTCGTCAATGTATTTGGGCTCTCAGGGGGTACGGGAGCACTTCTCGGTTTCGGACTCATATCGTAACCATCGTCGTACCCGGCATCGCCAAGACAATAATCTGCAAGCAGATCAAACCCGAGACTCCTAAACCCTAAACCCTCAGCCCTCAACCCCTAAACCCTCAACCCCTAAACCCTAAACCCTCAACCCCTAAACCCTCAACCCGAAACTCCTAAACCCTCAACCCGAAACTCCTAAACCCGAAACTCCTAAACCCCTAGACCCAAACTATCTCAAGCAGCCGAAAGTCCTCGCACTCCGCAGGCGTCAAGGCGAAATCCGCCAGTCGGACCGGCTCCGGTGCTCGAGCATCCCAGAGCCGCACCATGCCTTCAGCCTCACTTAGGGTTTAGGGTTCAGCCTCACTGCCCAGAGAGCCCAAAACCCCTTAACTAAGGAATATACCTTAAATTATAAGGGGATTCATACTATGATTTAAGCTAGATTCCTTGATTAAGGAGTTTTGGGCTCTCTGGGTGGCAAGGCTTTTGTGGTTTAGGGAATTAGGGGTTTAGGGTGTGGTTGCTTAGGGGTTTAGGGTTTAGGGAATTAGGGGCTTAGGGTTTAGAGAATTCGGGGTTTAGGGTTTCGAGAATTCGGGGTTTAGGGGAAATAGGGGTCTAGGGTTTAGAGAAATAGGGGTTTAGGGTTGGGCATCGAGACCCCAAACCCTACTAAACTCCAGATCGGGGCATGCGGATGTCCAAGGTGTGGGTAAGGGAATGGAAGGAGATGACGAAGATGCCGAACGAAAACTAATAAACGCCTTAATACGTCGACTAGGATAGTGCTGTAGAATATACTTATAGAGGGAGAACAAAGGGTTAGTCTTACCAATTACTCCGACCCCTATTGCGGGCTTTTGGGATCGGGAGGGCTCACGAATTCAGGTTTCACTCTCGTTGGAAGCTTTGGCAGAAGATTGCGGGCTTTTTTAGCTCAACTTCCAATTGAATGTCTTCCAGGACGTGGGGTTGAAACTAATTACAACGGGTTCGGATTGATGCACCTCCCTACAGTAACCGCCAGTGTTTAGGGTTCTGGCCTGAGGGTCTAAGGCCAAGGGTGTAAGGAAAGGGCCAGACTCAAGAATCCGCAGTCGGGAGAAGGACTACCAGCAGTAAAGCCGTTTCTTTGAGACCCGAAACCCTAAAACCCCAGAGTTCAATCGAGCTTCGTTCATGAGCAGCGCATGCTCGCCCAGAGGCTCACAAGCCACCAAGTCCTGGATTCGTTTGAGAGGGGTTTGCTTCGAGCCTCGGGTGGGTTCTGGCTTGAAGCGGTTCGTCCAGGGTTGAAGGGTTTAGACATGGGCTCTTGCAGGGTTTCTTGCCGATTCTTCTGGATTTTGTAAGAGCTTTGTAGAGGTCATTATGAGTTTTTTCGAGGTCGTCGTTAAGGAAAGCAGTGAAGCTCTCATACTTGACCGGGAGATGGAGACATCACAGCTATGATTCTATGATTGGCTTATGTGGTAAAGCAATTGAGCTCCTGAAATGAACATACAACAAAAGCCCGTCATATGGGGTCTACAGCTCTTACAAAATCACTTCCTCCCAAAGCTTTATAGAAACCTCTAAAAAGTCACATGTAAGTTTGTAAACATTAGCGTATACTAGATACGATATTCTTTTATTATCTGTCTGATGCAAAATATCCTGAGTCCTGGGAGCCGACGGTGCAGGTCTGCACCACGGCACCCTGGACCTGCACAGGACAGTCGTCGGATTGGGGTTTGTTTAGGGCCGTTTACGGGTTAGGCTTAGGGTTTCCTAGTTAACGGTTTAGGGTTTAGGGGTTTATGGTTTAGGGTTTAGGGTTTAGGGTCCAAGTTCAAACTTGTGGGTGCTGTTGTTCAAGGCTTTGTCGTGAGGTTTGCTCAACGACTGCTGCAGGCTGGATTTCGGAAGCCCGCATCAGCAATAGTCGTCGTTGTCGTCGTAGTAGAAGTGGTGGCAGCGGCAGTGGCAGGGGCAGTTGGAGTGGTAGTCGCAGTGGCAGCACGTATGCACGTTGCTTAAGCTCAGGCCGGTGCCGTGTCGAGGATCTGTGCGCTGTTGAGGCTTCGAGCCGCAGCAAGGACCTGTGTGCCACCTTGGCAAGATTTTGAGCTCGAAAGGGGCAACATCCGGGATTCTTTCAGGGATCCTGTAAGGGCTAGACCTGGCTCAGGGGTGTCTGTTTGGGAGTTCCGGGTTTGAAATCCATTCGGGCCTACGGCGTAGAGTTCGGGACTTGTAAATTCAGGCTTTGGGCTTGCTGGATTTACTCCCAGCTGTTCTGGCTTCTGCCACGCTGGGGTCGCTTCTGGGCAATTCCTCGATTACTTATCATATTGTGACCGCGTATGGAAAGTCCAAAAGCGCCAACCCTTCAGGACTACATAAACCCGAAAAGAGCATGCTCGAATTGCGTAGAACCGTAGAACTAGAGGCATATGTGTGTGTATATATATATATATATATATCAGTTACTACGATCGCAGACGTTCGGTGCCCTCACTGAACAGACGATCGGCGATCGCACCTTTTTCATGCGACCGCAACGTGGGAGTCGGCCACAGTCGGATCATCAAAATTTCACTTGATCTTCACAAGTCCGATCGGACCCCCGATCGCCGAGGGGTGCGCCATGGCATTCACCACAGACCGCAACATCATCCGATCGGACACATCAGACAAGCGATATTCCCCGCGAACAAAATTAAAAGTCCTCGATCGGATCATCGGGCTCCGGCGACGGCTCCTCGATCGGATCGTCGTCGAGGGGGGCCGCGCCGAGCAAGTCGATCAACTGCCGCTCGGCAGCACGAAAAGCTGCATCAGGAGTGGCTTTGGCTTTCGTCCGAGCGGGAGTAGCGCGAGAAGCCTGGTACGCCGCGATCTGGGCGGGAGTCGGCGGCGCTTTGGTCGGCGGACTCGAGCTCCTCGTAGGCACCATGATCTCGGTGCCGGGAGGGAGCTGCGTACCGGGCGGGAGCTGATCCAGCCGCCGCGGGGGCTGCCCCGGAATGACATAGTGAGCCGGTCCGCTGATGCGAACGTCATCGGGCACGGCGTCGAGCGATCTGGGGGGCTGCCCTGGAACTAAATACTGAGCAGGCTCGGCGAACAAAGGAGAACGCCCTTTCGGAGCCGCTCGGCCTTGGCGCGGCAGACCAGCCTTGGGATCCACATAGTAGACCGGCTGATCCATGCCTCTGTTTCGAGCAGCTTTGGCCGGGGGCGCTTTGGGCACCGGCCGCTGAACAGAGGGCACGCCCATCACTTGATCCCAGCTGAGGGGAGGATCTGCCCCGTGATCGTAGCCGGCCGGCTGGTGACGATCGCGATCACGATGAGCCGGCGGCGTGACCCAGGGGGTCTTTCGGCAGAAATGACACATATCCAGGCGACGATCGCAAGCCGTGCACAAAGGAGTGCGCTGGTTGGGGGCCCACTCTTCGCGGGGGACCCGAACGGCTGCGTAACATTCGTCTTGGCCGTCCCCGTCGCAGAAGCAGCCGGTGAACAGGCCGCAATCCACGCAGGGACGGCAGAGCTGATCTGTGTCGCCAAAAGCGAGCGCTTGAAGGCCAACGTCGTTGCGAGGATCCCGCATACCGAAAAGAACAGATAGGGCGGAGAGGGTGGGATTTTTCGGTATGGCCCGATCGGCTATCGCCAAAATGGCCACGGAAAAGATAGATCAAGTCTGTTCCAACGATCGCGAAACTGATCTCCTAATTCCTACCCACCAGACCGATAATTAGGAGACCAGTTACTACGATCGCAGACGTTCGGTGCCCTCACTGAACAGACGATCGGCGATCGCACCTTTTTCATGCGACCGCAACGTGGGAGTCGGCCACAGTCGGATCATCAAAATTTCACTTGATCTTCACAAGTCCGATCGGACCCCCGATCGCCGAGGGGTGCGCCATGGCATTCGCCACAGACCGCAACATCATCCGATCGGACACATCAGACAAGCGATATTCCCAGGCCCTCAAACTCCTTTCGGAAAGTCCGAGAGGACAGTGATCCAACCACACATCAGACCTGTAGCGACATCACCACGAGAGGGATTATCCGCCGGGTTCGAATCGGTCGGTACCCGATCGATATAAACAGAGCACCTAAGCTCCAGAACAAGCTCCCAGAAAATTCCTACGAGCTCGCAGACGTCCTCTTTTGCAGAGTAGCCTTTGATCAAAGCTGCCTCTACAGGCTCGGAATCGATAAAGAGGAGGACCAGCTTTCCACGGATCTCTTCCCTGAAAGTCTGTATCGCAGCGACCGCGGCTAAAAGTTCGATCATGCAAATTTGGGTTTTCCGGGGGAACCACCTCGACATGATCTGCCATGACACCCCCGAGGCGAATTGCCTAGGCTGATCGTCCCTAGTGAACATCACTCCTCCAATCATCTCAGAAGAGGGATCCTTGGGGTTCGAGCTCGGCGCCGATCCATCCGTGAAGATCACCACGTCGGACTTCCGCGGCCCCGAACTGGGGATAGGCCTCGGAGGCCCATGCATCACGAGCGTCCGCCACTTGTAGAGGGAGTAGAGGAGAGCAGGCGATAGGCTCGTACTGACCGTCTTCCGGGAGTACTGCCTCTCCGACAGAGATCTCAGGAAGGCTCGGCCGATCTTCCCCCAGAGCTGCGAAGCGCCGAACATCAGCTTTCCTCTGAGCTTCCCGGCTTGGCCGGGAGACATCTCTTCGTGTTCCAGGATCGACGAGATCTCGTCGAAGAGCTCCTGCTTCCTGGACTTCTTGATCTTGAGCAAGTACTGATCGAGGTCATAGGTCACGCCCAGGATCGTGGGATCCGAGCAGAGCTGAAGCTTCTGCTGATCGAACCGGGCCCCGAGCCACCAATGGACCTTCTCGGCCAGCGCGAACGCACTATCTGCCGTGGCCTCCGGCTCGAAGCCGTACTTGTCGTCATAGAAGTTGAAGCCGGCCACGATGAACACGCGCCTTAGAATGTCGGTAATCGCAGCCGAGCGACGGTTATAGTTATAGACGGCCGAGACCAAGCCGAAGGAGTGGCCGACCATCACGAAGAACGCCACCTTTCCCGTGGCCGGGTCCTTCAGAGCGACCACACTCCACTTGCGATGGGCCGGAGAGATCGGCACCTGCCGATAGGCTCGCCGCTCGTCCAGGACCCAACCACGTAGCGGGGACTTCGGCAGCCGCGAGCGCAGCCACTTGATCACCGCCACGTTCGCGTCCGTCGAGGGGAGTTCGAGTTTCTCGGTGACGATCGTCGCCATGTTGATCCCATTTGAGGTAGCACTGTCAACTCCCCTGACTTTGTTCTTTTGAACCACTTCAAAGCGCTGAGTAGTGATCATCGCCGACGAACTCCGAGACTTCGGCCTCGTCGAAGAAGGGACCGATCGCCGACCCTTCTCGAACATCTTCCATGGTCCCTTCCCAGACCTTGGGAGAGTGCTCGGTGATCGGAGATTTCCGAATCGCGCCTAACACCTTCGATCGAAATTCCCAGGCCCTCGAGCGAAGGGCATCAAGCGAGAGATGCTCCGCATGAGGTTTGCGATCGGGCTTCCAGCGGTGGGAGGAGGCAATATCGCCGACGATCGGCATGCCCGCCATGATCTGATCCACCAGGTCAGTGTCACTGCATTTGGCCTCATTCATGAGCTCCCGCCAAAGGGCGACGTGGAAGAACTGACCCATTTCCAGTGGACGATCGTCGGGGCCGCCGCGAAGAAGACGGCGCAAATGCTGATCTGGTATCTGCTTGAGCAAGAAATCAGAGGACGGGAGCAAATCTTGAGCTCGCCGTTCCCAATGCTGCAGAAGAGAGGCCCGACGATCGCGCACTTGAGCAGGATCACGAACAATTTGCTCAAGAACATCAAGGAGATCGGGGTCGATATCCGCGTCCTTTGTGAACGGGTGTGTAGCTTCCAAGGCGAAAGCGATCGCTTCACCCGGGTGCATCTCAGTGCTGATCAGCGGAGCCACCACGGACTTCTTCATCTGGTAACCCGCGGCGACGGCCTTCTTGCCAGCCGATCGTTGACGATGTTCCGTGGCTTTGACCGGGGCGCCATGGGGCCGCTTCCGATCGGAGTCCGGGGTCTCGAGCGCAAAAGTGAGAGTTTGCCAGGACTGATCCACGTGATCACCTGTGTTCACCGGCGCCGGCTTGAAGCCCAGCTGAAGGAGTTGTTCGAACTCGTCGGCAGGGATCCGATCGACCCCCTGCACTGAGTACACTGCGAGGACCACCCGAGTTCCGATCCAGGGCAGAGTCGCGTGCAGAGCTTCCTTAGCGTTGAAGAGGATCTTATCGTCGACGAAGTCGGTGTTGAAACCGGGGATGGAGCGTCCCTCGATTTCTCGCACATCGGGCCCGAGCGGGTCTTCGATCCAGAGCCCGTCTCCTTCAAACGACCCGAGCTTGAAGACAATGTTCGGGATCGGCTCATTGCCTGAGTCACGGTGAGGTTCGGCCTCCTGATCGTAGAGGACGGCGAACGACGTGAAGAGCGCCTCAGGAGCCTGTTGAGCGATGTACTTGGTGATCGCCTTGATCGCCCACGGCCATGAGTGGCAAGACGATCGCAGTCTTGTGATGCCTCCATATGGCGATAGGCTCCCGCGAAGAAAGCTCCGCCTCGTTCGTCGGCAGCCTTATGCTGACCTTGAACAGGGAGCTCTGTCGCCAAGTCGAGGATCTCCTCACGTAGAAGCGGAGCTCGCTTTTTCAGGAGATCTTGCGCGCGGGATTCCAGATCACAGCCCCCACGCGCGCCGGACAGGGTAAGGTGAGGAGCGCTATCAGATTCGCTGGGAACCGATCAGTGGTTGCCGATCATGGCATGCGGCTCCCCACAGACCATGCACAGGTGCTTGAAACGACAGTTGTCGCCAGACACGCACCCGAGCGAGGAGTTGAAGTAGTGGCACCGGCGAGCGCCCTGCACCTTCTTGGCCGCATCGGCGATGAGCTTCCACTCCTTCTCTGGGATCCGATTGTCCCGCTTGAGCTTCTTGTTGGGATCTTCCTTAACGACCTTCTTCGGCGGATCGTCCTTCGAAGGAGTCTGCAGTCGCTTCTTCTTCTTCCCTCCGCCCCGAGGCCTTTTGAACGGGGTGTGGGGAGGAGGAGGAACCTCATCCTCCTTGACCTGATCAGGGTTATTCGCGAGCTGCTGGCGGTTCTGTTCCATCTTCGAGAGAGTCGCAGAAGTGCGAGCATCATTCCACAAATATTTGTGGTTGGTGAGCACCTCGACCAGGGCCTGCGAGAACGAGATGTACGTCGCCCTCTGTTCAGACAGCAGGCGAAAGATCTTCTTCCGGATAGGTCGGTCCGCCGCCATGAGGAATGGCAAGCCGGGGCATTCCGAGCGGAACTGCTCCAATTCCTGCAAGTACTTCAGTGGGCCCTCGGCGCGTGAGAACGCGCAAATGTTGAGGTATTCGAGCGCCATGAAGAAAGCATGCAGACGGTTGAAGAGAGTCGTGACATCGGTGACCGGCTCAGGCTGATCAGCCTTAGAGATGGACAGAAGATCTTCAGCGTTCCGAGAAAGTCCAGACTTGACAACTATAACGTCCGAGCGGGTCCTGATCTCGGCCGGCTCATAGAATGGAACTATCCCATGGATCAGGAAATCGCGGGACAGCCGCTCGACGAACTTCTTATGCGGCTCCTTGGCGTCGATCAGGATGACGTCGGGGTGAACCCTCACAAAGCGATCGCGAAACTCCGCGTGGTCCTCTTGGGAGAGCTCCGGGATCTTGTTCGGGTCCTCCTCCATACGAGCTCGCCGAGAGGCGTACTGCGTCTGCAGCGCTTGAGCAGCTTGCCACACCGCCGCCAAGGACATCACGGAGAGCTCCTGTGCTGCCGCATCAGCCCCGAGCGGGGTCAAGTCATCTTGCCACAGCCGGCGGATTGTCGCCTTCGCCGAGGTGAGATCCTGCCCTAGCATTGCGAACATCTCGACCGTGAGGAGACCTTTGAATTTGTCGGCCGAGAGCCTGCAGAGGGCTGGATCTAGCCCCTGTCTCCCGAAGATCTGGCGCAGGTTCAGCTTCGGGGTCGCCGCCTCATTCGCGTATGCGGTGCGATCGACCATGGCTGCCTAACGAGCTGTCTGAAAAGAAAAGCTACGGTCAGGGAGAGGCTCAGCTCGAGTGGCCATCGTGACTGCGAACAGCTGTGTTCACGGCTCCGTAAAGATCTTACCGGAACACAACGAGCACATCTGAGTACTCGGCGGAATCTCGCCGA